ATATATATATATATATATATATACACGTATAGTTTTTTAAAATGCAATATTCTACTACTTACAATGTAACATTTATGCTTTAATTTTCAAACGTGAAAGCATCAAGTTTTTATTTAGTCAGAGAAGCTCAGGGTGATGGAGATGAACCTTATCAGCAGCAGTGAGTCTGGTCCAGGGTTTGGCCGCGCGCCGGTCGTAATCCTGAGCTTCTGCCACCTCCACGTAATCGCTGAAGCGGATGAGAATCTTGGCCTCTCTGAGCTCCTCCACGGTGGGCCTCTGACTCAACTGAACACACACACAGAGAAACACACTCCTGAAGACGTTGCGTAACTCGCATCTAATGTGTGCCGTGACCCAGAATAGTTGGTTGCTATAGGAACAGAGTCCGGGAAAAGCCAAAAAAGCTCTGGTTTGGGGAAAATCTCCTGCTCTCACCTTCCTGGAGAGCCGTTTCTTCAGCTCGCGCTTCTCCTCCAGCTCCTCCTGCTCGTTCCGCGCTGAACACACAATCAGACACATTCACTCACAACATGAAGCTTTCCTCATCATACTCATACTGGAGTCTGTGAGACGTACGTTTGAGGATGTTCCTCTGCTCCAGCTCTTCTGCTGACGGTCTCTGGCTCAGACGACTGGAGACAGATGATTTAGATCATTTAAAAAGCACACAAACATCCTAACCTGATAATAAAGCAATTTAATCATAATTTAATCACTCAAAAAGACATAGCAACATTTTGCTGCTCAGTTTGCTTTCATTTCAAGAAGTATAGCTGTGTGTGTGTGTGAGTGTGAGTGTGTGAGTGTGTGTGTGTGAGAATGTGAGTGTGTGTGAGTGTGAGTGTGTGAGCGTGTGTGTGTGAGAGTGTGTGTGTGAGTGAGAGTGTGTGTGTGCGAGAGTGAGTGTGTACAATGCGTGTGGGTGTGTGAGTGAGAGTGTGTGTGTGTGTGTGTGTGTGTGTGTGTCTCCTCACCGGGTGAGTTTGGTGCCGATCTGCTGTCTGGACTCCAGCCGCTCCTGGTCGGTCATCATGGGTAGGATGTTTTTATCCTCCAGTTCTCTCTTCGACGGGCGATTGCTCAGTTTGATTGCCAGCGAATCTTTCCGTAAGATCCTTAAAGCAAGCGTACCTGCACACACACACACACACACACACACACACACAGATTAATTTCACATAAACACACACACGAGTCACATGCTGTATTTCCCGCCAGATCTCGTACTTGTAAACAGCGAGTCGTCATCATCCTCCTCTTCCTCGTCCTCTTCCTCGTGCGTGCTGAAGGTATGTGTGATGAGTGTGTGTGTGTTGGTTTGGTGCATTGAATCTCTGTTCTCCTTCTCCGCTTCCGTCTCCATCAGGACAGATGGCACCGCCTGCAGTACAGAGCTACACACACACACACACACACACACACAGTTATTTTAGTATTATTTATATACCATTATAGTTCTTATTAATATTTTGAATTAGCTTGTATTTTTATTTTTTCTGTTTTTACTTTAATTTCAGTTATATTTTAATGATTTTGTTAAGTGTTTGTTGTTTTTATTCGTTTTTTTTAAATTACTCTTTAGGTTATATTTATTTTTATTTCAGCTTTAGTTTAGTTTGTCATTTTATTTTTATTGTATTTTCAGTTTGTGCTTCAGTTCAGTTTTTAGTGCTTCAACTTAAACTACATGAAGAAATGTTGCCTTAGTTTTTAATAATATTTATATTTGATTTGATTTCAACTTCATTTTAATTAGATAATGAAGTATAACAAAAAATGTAAACTGAAATAAAATATAATAAAAACAAACAAAGCAACATTTCCCATTTTCATTTAATCTGAAGTACTACAATACCTAAAATATATAAACAAAACTAAAACAAAAATTGATAAAAAAAAACTATACAGACTAACAAAAACAACAACAAAATGACTTGAAGTTTTCCTAAGAAAAAAAAACAATATATTTCAAAATATTAACAAAAACTATAATAGCATATCAATGATACTAAAATAACACTGTGATAGGAGTAACCCTAACTATGAGCACTAGAAATAGTACTGAAACGTTCATATGAAAATTATTTCTTTAAAAATGGATCTAAACACACTGAAACTAGCTTTTTTTAATTCTACAAATGCAGACATATTTCTGTGAGGATTTGGTTATATTATTAAGTATTTATAATTAGTTACATAAAATAATAAAATAAGTTATATAAAATGTATAGTAAATAGAAGTATGGACAGTAATAGAATTTGAACAATACAAAAAATTTGAACTGAGATGATGTGCATAATGACAATTTGCAACACTGACACTGTTATTGAACTGAACTGAATCAACATTGAACTGAACTGAGCTGAAATTACACTACTATCTTCTGTAGAGCTGATTTAAAGCTAAAATTAATAATTGAAGAATTTTACAACATTAATAGTTATTTTCCTGTTTATTTACTTTGAAGTGGCTTTGACACAATCTGCATAATACAAAGCGCTACAGAAATAAATGTGACTTAACTTGATTGAATAAAACATAGAATAGAATAATAGAGTTTGTGTGTTTGTTTGTGTGTGTGTGTGTTTTAGCGCTGTCAAATTAGGGCAATAGAATATACGGTCTGTACAGTAGAAAAACTATTACGCCTATGGAGAGTCCCCACAAGGATAGCAAACCAGACGTGTGTGTGTGTGTATGTCCTCACCTCTCGAGTCTCTGCATGGTGAGCGCGAGTGTTTTGTTGAGTTCCTCTATGATGCGGCTGGGTGGATGCAGTGACAGTGGCAGTGTGGCGTACTGCTGCGAGTGTGTGTGTGTGAGTGTGTGTGTGTGTGTGTGCGAGCCCTGGGACGGCAGGCATTTGAGGGGAAACGAGGGCGCCGGCTCACAGATCATCACTTTCTTTGGAGGCAGAGGCGGCGACAGTCTGGCCAGTGTCTCTGAAGAGAAGAACAGGCAGAGTTTAGTTCTCTGCGCTGGTGTTCGTGGGAGACGGAGGAGCGGCGCAGGCCTCACCTGTCAGATGGTTGGGGATCCGGCTGTATGGCTTCGGCAGTAAGGCAGGAGGCTGCTTCAGCGACGACGGCCTCACGTGAGTGATGTCAGCGCTGTCGCTAGGCAACGGCGAGGGCTTCACAGAGGGCGGGGCTTGAGATGGCTTTGGGACGAGATCCGAGAGACACGCCGCAGTTTCTCCAGACGACTGGACCTCTGAGAACGACACTGCAGCACAGAGAGACAACGGGACAACTTTACTATTTAAAAAAAAAGAACAATAACTGAGCAGCAAATCAGCATATTAGAATGATTTCTGAAGGATCATGTGACACTGAAGACTGGAGTAATGCTGAAAATTATAATACATCTTATATATATATAATATATTCACAAAGAAAACAGCTATTTTTAATTTTAGTAGTATTTCACTGTTTTAATGTATTTTTAATCAAATAAATGCAGCCTTGGTGAAAATAAGATTCTTGACTAGTAGTGTATAAAAAAAGGTATATATATATAAACCCTAAACTTATTTTATTTCAGCTTCAGGTTTCTAGTTTAACTTGATGTACTAAAATAATTCAAATAAAACTGAAAAATAAATAAATAAAAGCAATATATAGCAATATATATATAAAATGTATGATAAAAATACATATAACAATGACAAAGACACAACGAAATTAAAAACGAATTCAAAATATTAATAAATTCATTAATAAATCATATTTATTAACCAAACCCCTTTGATCTAAAATATTTACTTCAAGTCCCCCTGAGATTTTAAATTAATATAAAGTGAAAAAATAAAATAATAAATAAAATGAAAATTTTTACCTTTTTTATACACTACTGGTCATAAAATGTTGTGTTTTGAAAGAGGTCTCTTCTGCTCAACAAGGCTGCATTTATTTGATTAAAAATACAGTAAAAACTGTGAAATATAAAAATTTTATGATAAATGTCTTTACTGCCACTTTTGATCAATTTAATGCATCCTTGATGAAAAAAAGTATTGATTTCTTTCTCCTTTCCCTTATAATATACATATACATCAGGGGCGATTCTTCCCAAGAGGCAAGGTCTCCTCAAAAAATTGGATGACAAAATAATCGATATCCAACAGTGACACCCGCAGGTAAAGAGCGGAGGCTTGCCTCCCTTCAGTCCATAGACTTACAACAGTGACCCCTTTTAGCGTGCCGTGACTTTTCTGGGTTGTGATTGAGAATGAATGGGGGAAAGTCACGTGAGAGGAGGCAATGCCTCCATCGCGCTATAAATGGATATGATCGGTTATGATTGAATGTGATTGGTTCGTGTGATAAATCCCGCCTCTTGTTTTCGTGCGAGCTCTCGGTCAGAATGAAGCAAATGATGGCGTTATTGACTAATTATAAAGTAAACAACTCTCCCGCTTAGATATCACTGCTATGTGTCACGTCAAAATAAAGCTTGAAATGGTCTGAAAGCGTGATGACTGCGTCAGTTTTTAATGAGCATTCAGTGTGATGAAATGAAAGATATATCTTCGTGTTTGTGGCAGTGTTTACAGAGCTTTTATGACGATGACCCGAAATAAGTTGACTATTAAAAAAGAACAGCTGAACATCAGTTCACAAATAAAAAATATTGGTAACATTTTACAATAAGGTGTCATTTAATGTGTTAACTAACATGAACAAACAATGAACATTTATTACAGTATTTATTCATCTTTGTTTACATTAGTTAATACAAATAGGGCCCTACTGTTGTTCAGTGTTAGTTCACAGTGCATAAACTAATGTTAACAAACACAACTTTTGATTTTAATAGTGCATTAGTAAACGTTGAAATTAATATAAACTAATTAATAAATGCTGTAGAAGTAGGCTATTGTTTATTCTTAGTTCATGTTAACTAAAGTAGTTAACTAATTTTAACTAATGAATCCTTATTGTTAATTATTATTTATTTAATAACTTAATTATTATTGTAAATTGTTTCCAAAATATTGTTCAAATTGTTAATGCCTTTAGTTATTATTTTGGAATAAATATAAAAATGCATAAAAACACTATGAAATGTATAATTTTAATTAAAAATATTACATAAAATAAAAAATAATATTAATAAAATACAAAATAGAATTATATTTGTTCTCTTTTTTATGTAATATTTATTTAACCAGTAAAATGTGACAACATTAAGTGTAACAGGGACATATATATATATATATATATACAGTATACATATAACATTGTAAAGTAAGATTACATATACATACATATATATATAGAGAGAGAGAGAGTTCTTTTTATTAACAAAAGAGCAGTAAATATTCAATTAATATCATTGAATATTTACTGCTCTTTTTTAATAAAAAGAACTCCCAAACCTTCAAGTGCATCTAGAATATTTTTTGAAACAAAACAGCAAAAATTACTCATTAACATATAACCACCCTCATTTGCATATCAACACCTACTCAGCATTCAGTACCTTGATCCCAATAAACATCAGTGTGAAATGTCTTAAAGGTACAGTATCAGAAATAGCTTTATGTAGAAGGTGAAAAATGATCAGTAGACACTAAACTACGGCAGTTTTTGGTGAGATTCTAAGTCAAACCGTGCAGAATATGAGAAGTGGACAGTGACGCACCTGTCGCTGTGACGCTGGTGTCTGCAGACTCTGACACTGGACTGATGACCGTCTGTCTGTCCAGATCACTCACACACATGCGGCCGCCGTCGACGCTGACCTCATCTACTGACACACAGATCGAGACGTTCACACTCACTTATTTCAATAAAGCGCGTTCAGTAGGGACGGGCGATATCTTATCGTTTGCAATAAGTTCCCTAAAAATTCTCCCCATGATAAGAATTAATCTTGCCGCGATAATAACGATAAAGTCTAGTTGTTGACATATTTCTGTGTGCGACCGTGCAGAGCGACATCGTAGAAGGCGGATGTGAAATTGAGGAAGAGTATAACGTTATTGCTAAAGGATGAGCTACTTCTACAATCTGGAACTGGTTTGGTTAGGGCTGTACAGTGCGACAAAAAATCGGTCTGAGCCTTGAATAAATGTAGTACAGTAGCACGTTTGTGCGATACAGTTTTGCATGTGTATGAGCCTGTTTAGCGACCGTGCAGAGCGACATCGTAGAAGGCGGATGTGAAATTGAGGAAGAGTATAACGTTATTGCTAAAGGATGAGCTACTTCTACAATCTGGAACTGGTTTGGTTAGGGCTGTACAGTGCGACAAAAAATCGGTCTGAGCCTTGAATAAATGTAGTACAGTAGCATGTGTGTGCGATACAGTTTTACATGTGTATGAGCCTGTTTACAAACCTGTTGTCCAACAAAGATACCATTTATTGACATGATTTTTCTCCAAATTAACTTAACATAGTCGAGAGTTTGAAATAACTTCTTTTTGTGACCAGACGTGGTTTCATATCACAGAATGCGGCAGAAATCATACTATTTTATAGTATTATATACAGTGATACAGGCTATGTCGAATACCATTGCATTATAAATATACTTTATCCTTATAAAAATACCCAGGATTCCTTAAAGAACACATTTAAACCATATATTGTCGCAATAGTATGTTTATAGTCAGTTTCCTCAGTTAAAAATTCTCTATTTGCGTTTTATTCAGGTACAGCGATAACTGGATACCTTTGTCCATATTAGGGATTTCCTGGAACGTCATCAGTACTATTACTTCTGCGATGCATATGTGAAGTTCGCATTCTGCGCAAGGGCGCCCTCTGGCTTCCAGTATGAATTAAACAGTCATTACATTAAGTGTGTACTCAGTAATGCTCAGAACACCCTATTTTGGGTAAAAATAGGAAAAATAATACTTTTCTCTAATGAAACAGGATGCACAAGATTCCCTGAATTATCGTTATTGAATCGTTATCGCAAATAAATACCAGAAGTTATCGTGATATATTTTTAAGCCCATATTGCCCATCCCTAACATTCAGTTCCTGTCTGCTTGAACGGATAAAGTAGAAAAGCTCTTTTCTTACCTTTCTCATACACTTCCTTCAGCACGCCTCTCTTGATGAGCTCTTCTCTGCTCTGACGCGTCGACATCTTCCTCTCCAGCACTGCCAATCATCAACGAAACTGCTTAGAAATGAAAACAGTGCGTCTGCGTCTGCAGGTGGATTGCTGTGCGTGTCTCGTACCTGCAGACGTCTGCTTGAACTTGTCGCTCTTTTTCTTTCTCCATTTCCACGGTTTGAAGAGTCGTCCCAGACTGGCCAGTTTGCTGCGTCTGCGGATCGGAGGCGTGTGCGTCCCGGGAACCAGCGAATCAGAGCGCATCGCCGCCAGACGCTCGGCACCCTCTGCTGAACACACAAAACACACACGGGACGTTTGTAAGCCTGTAAAGCCTGACATATGAAAATAAAAATTACCTAATTTTTAGAAATGGAACCGTTTACTGACACTTTAGGCAACATCTAAAACAAAAAGTTTGCATATGTGTTTTATGTTCTAGTACTTTCATGTTCGATAATGTTGTATGTAATGAGCTGCCTGTACTTTTTGTTATTTTACAGATTTTTTTTTTTTACAGTGTAGCACTTGCATATCATTGCTCTTTTGTTGATTTTGATTGCTTTCATTGTCCTCATTTGCTTTGGATAAAAGCGTCTGCTAAATGACTATTCAGCTCAATTTTATTCAGAGACTCAAACTGAACAAAAATATGCAAATTGGTGCGGATGATGATATTTATATGGACAAAAAGTGATGAAATTCTGATGCTTGTACTGCAAATCAATGAGATCTTTAAAACCGTATATCAGCTGCCGACATAAAATGATCTAAACATCAGTCGTCGCTCTATATCTCCAGTAATCTGTCTCAGTGAGATAAGATGTAAATGCTCCAAACATATAATGCAGTGATTGAGAGCTGAAGAAATAAAGGCTCCTCAGAAGATGTGAGATGTTCTGGAGGCTTGTGAAGATCATTCCTCCGCTGAGGAACAGTGAAAGTAAAGCTTCTGGAAACAAACGCTCCTCAAAAGATCCTGAGGATCAGATTTGAGACTCTAAAACATGATTGATGGAGAATCAAGTAAAGCCCAGCTGCTTCAGTCCAGTAAGTGTTCATCTGGAGATATTACTGCAGTTATTCTGACCTTTACTTGATCAAAACCAGTCGAGATTTGACAGCAGAAAGACACGTGAAGCGTTTCTACAATTACACTAAAACAGCTTTTACTGGATAAAAACTATCAATCAGACGACAGAAGACACGAGGGGATTGTGTGACAACAAAGTTTTGATGATTTAGAAGCCTTAGAAATATGGCTTTATATATAAATATATATACCCTATAGGGTTTATATAGGAATAGCAGATGTGTTTTATTGTGCTTTTTAAGAGTAAAACTCAACATCCACATTTATTGCGTGAAAACAGACCTCAAATGTTCATCAAAACATCTCGGACTGAATGAAAGAGAAACAACATGAGGGCAACTTTCACTCCTAGGTGAATTATTTCTTTAACAAACTAGTAAATCCAACAGAAAATGTAAACATTTCCAGAAGCTGCAATAAGAGGTACAGTAAAAAGTCAAGGTCTTGAATGAAACCTGATAAATCAGTCATAAATCGAGTAAATGAGCCAAAAGAATTTAAATGGCTTTGAAAGAGAAGAAACTAAGCATTAAAAATGTCATGGCAGAGACCAAATACCTTTAGGATCACGTAATTGGAAAAACTAACGCAACTTATTCAATAATCTTCAGGAGAAATGACTAAAACAGAATATTTTCGTGTCCTTTCCATTTTGTCTCAGATCACAAGTTTTCCGATCTTTTGTTTTTATTACTTTCTCCGTTTGGTAACTCAATAAAATAGGGCAAAGACATATATTAACATTCATTTTCTTAGATTAAGGAAATTCAGAAGGGGGAAGACGACTGTCACACGCATAAAGTGTAAATTTCTAATCCCATCTTCTCACCCCAGGAGAGTAATCTTCAGATATATTTCACAACACCACGCACATCTGCTCTCTAATAATCCACTATTCATTTCACAGAGTGACTAATACGGTCCCTTACTGAGTGTAAAGTGTGGAGAACGCGCTCACTACGAGTCCAAATGCTGTATTACATCAGCAGGAATTATATTTTGGACACTCGTTTCTGCATTTGAGTTTTTTTACTTGAAAATGATGGCAAGAAAATTAAAGGAAAAGTTACCCAAAAATGAAAATTTGCTGAAAAATTCCTCACCCTCAGGCTATCCAAAATGTAGATGAGTTTGTTTCTTCATCAGGTTTGGAGAAATGCAGCATTGCATCAGTGTCTCCGCAATGGATGCTCTGCAGTGAATGGGTGCCGTCAGAATGAGAGTCCAAACAGCTGATAAAAACATCACAATAATAACGCTATCAAAATCCAGCCACATATTTGTTTAGAGCTGTTTTGGCTTGTACACAGTGCAGATTTCTCTCCTGATTCAGACCAGACCACTTTTTCACTGGAGGAATCCTTTTTCTGGAGGATTATGAACTCGTCTATTATTCACTGTAAATTAATCTGTCTCATATTTTTACTTACAAAAACATCATAACTACACTTTAATGTAAAAGTAAAGTACATGTAATGTCTTAAATGAATATGATAAATAATTTAAATTTCTTAATTCCAAAACCCATACAGTATTTTACAGTGAATAAATATAATTTTTCCCTGTATATGGTCAGGTCATTTAACAGGGATTTACATTTTTACATTATTTTTCAATATTGCTACATTGTATACGACAGCAAGGTAACACTACAGTATCTACAGTAGTTGTTAACAGATTACTATTAGTGCAACAAAAAGTGCAATAAATGAACATTCTAAATTCTAAATATTAATAAGAAACATAAATAATCATAAATTTCCAGCCATTACTGAACAATACATTGCATAATACATTTTATTTGCTCGTATTTACATAATATTTTATATAAATATGTTATATTAGCAAAGTAAAACATCTATATTTTATATTTAGTGTCTGTTGTTGCCAGGGGGGATGGGAATTTCACATTCAGTTGACAAACTTCATTCAGTCACACAGAAGAGAGAACAGAGCTGGTCAGTCATCAGATAATAGGGTCAAACAAGCAATCAACAGTAGGGACGAAATCATAATGTTGTTGTGAATAGGTAGAGGGTAAAGAACAGAAATATAGCTAAATATATGAGGAATGCAGAAATGTTTATTTACCATAATTATCCAAAATCATGAGTGACCGTACGGTTGATATGTCTGTAAAAGGACATATCATATAGCAAATGGCTATATATATATATATAAACAAGATGTTTAAAACAATTTTTTGGTTATGAAGGTTATGAAATGTGCCCAAGACCTACTAATAAAGATTAAGGAATGTTTATTATTGGAAAAAGAACTGGAAAGTTCTCTGAATTTAAATCGAGATTTACCATGGACTGACAGGTCAACCGTACGGTAGATTTTATATAAAACATAAATAAAAAATGCTTGAGGATATAAGTCGCTGGGGTATATTTGTAGCAATAGCCAACAATATATTGTATGGGTCAAAATGATAGATTTCTCTTTTATGCCAAAAATCATTAGAATATTAATAAAGATCAGGTTCCTTGAAGATATTTTATAAATGTACTACCGTAAATATATCAAAACTTAATTTTTGATTAGTAATATGCATTGCTAAGAACTTCATTTGGACAACTTTAAAGATGATTTTCTCAATATTTAGATTTTTTTGCACCCTCAGATTCCAGATTTTCAAATAGTTGTATCTCAGACAAATATTGTCCTATCCTAACAAACCACACATCAATGGAAAGATTATTTATTCATCTTTCAGATGATGCATACATCTCAATTTAAAAAAATGGACCCTTATGACTGGTTTTGTGGTCCAGGGTCACATTTATTAGATGTCTACTAATAAGAATTTAAAGTAAAAAAAAATTTTTTCATTAGCTCCTTTTAGGGGTGAAAGTTAAAGGGTTAAGAATGAACTAGGCCAAGATTATACTTATTTATTTTTTTAAAGACTGTTTTATTCTCCAGCACCGTTAAGCGCGGCTCTCACTCACCGTCCCGGATGTCATTCCCGCGGCTGCAGTTACTGCAGATGTGCTTGATGTGACCGGAGATCACAAACGGCGTGTTGTTGTTACCGGGGGCGGTGGGCTGCCGCAGTTTGACCAGGTTAAAGGCTCTCCGTTTGCGCGGTTTCTCTGCGGACGACGACGACGATAACGATGAGGAAGATGACGCGTCCTCCCGTAACCGGGATGTGATCCAGGTCCCGTGCGCTCCGGTGAATGCGGGACCCGCCATAGGCGCAGCGGCGTTCCCGTGTCTATCGGTCACACCCCGGGATGGTGCGGATATCGAACGGAAGAGTGAGTTCATGAGCCTCACCGATCATCCCGAGCCGCGCGAACCGGGGGTTATATCACCGACGCCACGCGCAAAACGTTTGGCCCACCTGAGTATAACCGTGTGTGTGTGTATACACACACACACGCGCTGATGTGATCCACTTCGGTGATTTCTTTAATATATCGCGTCTTTAAACCCCTCGTTACCGTTAATTCCTTAGCAACGTTCGCGCAAATTCAAGTAACTGGCGCAGATTTGTTTATCGTAAGCGGACGGATGCGCCTCTCGGTAGCATCTCTTCAAATTCACCAACGTGACGCAATGCCGTGAAGTCCACGTAAAAATACGCGGACCGGAATCGACAGTTAACGGGAGCAAATTCGCCGATCCTACTACTGTGAGAGCTTGTCTTATGAATATTAATGATATTCGTCCCTCAGGCCCATCCGATTGGAGGTTGTTGTTAAGTGGGCTACAATGTTGAAGACTTGGCTCATAAATATTAATGACGTAACTTGACCCGGCCCACTTGATTGGAAGGCGCTGTTAAGCGATACCATGCTGAAGGTTACGCTCATAAATATTAATGAGGCAGTCACGTTCGGCCAGTAGGATTTTAACAGAAAATTTTTATTTTTATTTTTATTTTTGTTTTTAACAATATTTATTTACATTTTATCTTTTCTTATAACATATTTTTGGTTATCAAGTAGCGTGAGCACGAAGCCTTCACCATAATATTATTTTCGCTGGCCACACGGTCCAGATCCAGACCGGATCTACCGAGAAACCCCGCCTACGTCCCCGTATTTCGAACGCTGTCGCACCGCTCGAGGCTGCGGTTACAGAAACCTGGACTAAAATAAATATAATACCGGTAACCATTTTCCCAAACACCGTCTGTGTCCAAACCTATTGCTTCTTTATTATCTGTAGGGCATAGAAAAGTATGTAGATTTAACATATATCCGTATATATCTTCATAAAATCCTACTATAATTAGCGTGTAGATATTTAATAGACAGGTTATGTTATCTTCTGACAAATTATTTAACTGTTTAGTCGCCACAGATTCTGCCCTTTAAAAGTACCAACTGGTAACAATATAGTAGGCCTATTGTTGCAGTAACATGATTACTACACCAGTCTTTACTGATTGATATACAATAATATCAACATTGTACTCCAAGGTAGCCTACATAGGGCAAAAAAAATAAAATAAACATGCATATATATTTTCAAATGTATTTCAGAATGTACAAAAAGGGCAAACATGTATTTGCTAACATATGTTACAAAATATAACTTGAAACACATTTTAGCAAGTATATTTTTGCCAATTTTTTGAAATATATTCTAAAAATGAAAATATTTTTAAATGCATTAAAATATGTATGTTTTAATCCAAGGAAAAAATTCATTTACACGTGTCACATTTGAAGAAAAACTTGTCTATAATACGTGTGAACACAACATATTTGAATAAAAATCTTACTTTACAATGTTCTAATATATATATATATATATATATATATATACACAATATGTAAAAAATGAAATGTTATTAAATCAAAATCTAGTTTTCTTGCCCCTGAAATTGATTGTGAATTTTGCTATATGAAAGTTGAAACTAAATATATTTCCAATTTCAAAAATGTATTTCATTCAGCTTCACTGTTAACAACATATATTTAGCTTTTTTTGTATTATTTTTTGGCCAGAAAAAAAAAAAATATATATATATATATTTGGCATATGGCAATGCTATGGTACTTGATTTAACCCTAAAAAAAAATGAGCAGAATGCTTTAAAAACTGCTAATAAAGAGAAATATTGGGTTAAACGCACAGCATCACAATCTGTCTCTATTTTAAGATCTGTTGATTTTGCGGTTGCTTCACTAAACTGGCCTCAGAACAGCTGCGGCTCTGAGGAACATGTGCAGATGAAATATTATCCAGGATAAACCGAACCATGACTCATATGCTGGAAAGAATATTCTTTCTCATGCTTTCTATCCTAAAATCTCCAGCAGATGGCAATCTCTGGCGCTAATTCTGTGTGTGTTTGTGAGAAAATGAACCCCCACATGACTGATTGTGGCATGTGTGACTTTAATCATATGTTAGTGAGTGTGTGTGTGTGAGAGAGTGTGTGTGTGTGTGAGAGAGAGTGTGTGTGTGTGTGTGTGAGAGAGAGTGTGTGTGAAAGAGAGAGTGTGTGTGTGTGTGTGTTTACACATTTACACATTGTAGTAAAGGAACGAAGGGTGAGTGGGCCGTCGGGCCACGCACATTCGTGTCACCAAGCATGCATTTATTTTCCTGCCTGGGTGTTTCATATGTGTTGCTGGATTTATTTACATGTGTGGGCCTCATACATGTTTCATGTCCTGCCTGTGCACAGCAGTCATGTGTGTGTGTCAGGATTGTCAGGTGTCAGCCCTTGGGGTGACCGTCCTTCTCTGGCTTACAGAACCTCACTGTGAGTGTATTGGGCAATCGGGGAGCTATCCATGTCTCTCCCATTGGTGGATCTCGAACACGAGATGATGAAAGAGAACAATAGGTTACTGTCCCGGTTCTCTGAAACATCGAGTGGAGAGATACACCAGCTTTGCCCCGCTTGCCGCACGAGAAGCGAATATACTTGCTGGAGAATAGCGTCGCGTGCGGGCCTTATATGCTCTCAGGTAAGGGGGTGGGGCCTTACCTGGCATTGGCTGCGCGCTTCTGTCTGTCTAGCCAGACTTGGTGCAATTGGATGCTTCTGCAGAGGTCAGGTACGGATGCCCTTCCCATAGGTGGATCTCTCCACTCGATGTTTCAGAGAACCGGGGTTACGACAGTAACCTATTGTTACTCTACAGTCATGGCCAAAAGTGTTGGCAGTGACATAAAGTGTGTGTGTGTGTGTGTGTGAGAGTATAAGATGAGTGTGTGTTGTGTCTGGTCTCAGTGAAATACTCTCACAGCATATTGATCTATCAGCTCATTCAACCACAAGAACAACACAGCAAAATATACTAGTAACACTTTATTTTACCTGAAACTAAAAACATTTTTAATTGAAATAAAGCTGAAATAAATTAAAATATTAGATGAAAAACTTCAACTTCAGAAACTACAACTACTAAAACTAAAACTGAAATAAAAATACATAAAGCTAAATAGAATAGATTTTTATATTTTTGGTTTAACTGAAATGTAAGTTTGATTAATTTTAATAGTTTTAGTTAACAATAGCAGCACTGTCAACAAATCATAGAAATATTAAAAAGTAAGTAAATAAATAAATACAAATAAAATGGCAAGCACACAACAAAATTACCTAAACCTAAACTAAAATTAAATGATAAAATTAAAACTGAAATTAAATTGAAAATACTACAGTATAATAAACGTAAAATATTTATTAAAATAAATAATAAAAGTTCATTCAAAATAATTGAACACGTCCATGATTTAATGACCAGTGCTGTTATTCACTGAAACTATTAAAAGTAATTTTGGTTAAAGTGAAATAAAGCTGAAATAAAAAATAATATTAGATGAAAAACTTACATTTAAATTTTGAAATTGAAATGTCGCCTCGGCAACTAAAATAAGTTAAAATTGAAGTGCTAAAATTACTAAAACTAAAACTGAAATCAAAATTAGCTGTATTCAAACAATAGCTGAATATTATTTTAACTTAATTTACATTCAACTGAACTCAAACTCACTCTCTCTCACACACACACACAAACACTCACACACTCAAACACACACAAACACTCACACTCAAACTCAAACACACATACACAAACACTCACTGACTCGCACACACACACACTCACTCACACACACACACGCACTCACACAAACACAAACACTCACTCTCACACTCAAACTCACTCTCACACACACACACGCACTCACACAAACACACAAACACTCACTCTCAC